GGGAGTGGCCAATTAAGTATACATTTTTTTTTTTAATGGCTGAATTAGGGTTTACACTAGACCCTCTAACCATGACCAGGAGGTTAAATTGATGAGTTGAAGTCTGTATTTACACGTGGTGTAACTTGTGTGGTTATTGGCAGGATTTTTCTCTTCACTGAGCTCTTAGTAATGATATGACGAGGAGACAGACTGGGATTTTTGCACAAACGACTGTTCAGCGAATTTGTCTTGTAACTGTTTCGTTTAGTTGAAGCAAATTCCAGTTACCTGATAAACCTCATGTCTTGGTCTTCCATTTTTATCACCTGCCTGAGGAAAATGAAATCAAAACTGCATGAATTTTCTGCTTACGGAGTTTTTAACGTTCCTCTTTCGGAGGAATTGGATTTTTTTCTGAATCGATTACGTTACTAAATCACGTAACCTACTTTCTTGAATTTGTTTCAAAACTCTAACGGGAGGTTGGGAGGAGAGAGGCTTTGTTTTGTTTGACGAGCAAGCTCTCCTAACTGATTTAAATACCTTGTCCTGTTCTCAATCAGGGCAAGGGTGTTTCGTTTCTGTTCCTTTTGTTTCTACGATGTCCGATATGCCTTCTCTGCTTGACATTGAAAGAAATGGGATAATAAGCACTAGAGTTTTGTGAGGGGAAGCAAAACTCACTGTTGCCCGTGGGGCCAGTCATTTGCGGTTTCAAGGTGCACGACCTGATCACGTGCAAGTCGAGAGTTCAAGCTGTTGTTTCCCTAGGGAGTTACTGAGTTTTGACCCATGACACGTGACACGTTCTCCTCCAATCGGACAACGTAATTGATTTGAGGGTGTAACAATATTTGTTGGAATATTTTTGGAACATTGTCGCACCTGGATCTTTTTCCGACAGTCGAGTGATGTCCAGTCTCCTGGATAGTATCTCGGATGAGCGCCCGTCTTAGTCCCTGGCCGACCAATCAGATACTCTCCCAAAGGAACTGTGTCCTCGCACCATTCCACTATACCACTACGCTGAGACAATGGGATAACCTGGTGAAGAAAAAGAAGGTGGAAATTCAAAGTAGGTTACCGTCAACAATTACTGACAAAAAGAGAGATGTAACAGGATACCGATGGGAGAGGAAGAAAACGGAAGACGCACATGGGATTTTTGCATAGTTTTGGTGAAGTAGTGTCTTAGTTGTACAGTGCATAGAAAGCAAGGAAAAGAAATCGTTCTTGGAGAAAAAAAAGAACGGTTTGGTATTTTCCAGGAATTCCAGCGACCCTTANACTACGCTGAGACAATGGGATAACCTGGTGAAGAAAAAGAAGGTGGAAATTCAAAGTAGGTTACCGTCAACAATTACTGACAAAAAGAGAGATGTAACAGGATACCGATGGGAGAGGAAGAAAACGGAAGACGCACATGGGATTTCTGCATAGTTTTGGTGAAGTAGTGTCTTAGTTGTACAGTGCATAGAAAGCAAGGAAAAGAAATCGTTCTTGGAGAAAAAAAAGAACGGTTTGGTATTTTCCAGGAATTCCAGCGACCCTTAGAGCAATCTAGTCGTGTAGGATGGATTGACCAACGATCAAAGCAAGGACTTGTATAGAAATGACACAGAATCTCAGGGAAACGTCCAGTAAGGGCCTCCACAAACTAGACATTTCGTTGTCGACAACTAAATGCTAAATTTTTAGTTCCTAAATTTTTAGTTTTGGTTCCCACACACGCGAGAAACGATCGAAAGGTAGTTGTCGACAACTAAGCAGTTTCCCGTTTCGAAAAGGGAAACTGCTTTAGTTGTTGACAACTACCTTTCGATCATTTCTCGCGTGTGTGGGAACCATTGGTTTAGTTGTCGACAACTATCGAAACATGACACACATTTGAGCATGCGTGTTATTTTTCGAGCATGCGTAGCAAACGTTATTCCCCAAGCACTCGCTGACCTGACTTAGTTATCGACAACTAACACTCCAATGTGTGGAATACTTACATCTGACACAATTAATTGTCGGTAATATTTAGTGGTCGATAACAAATTGTTGTCAAATTGTTGTCTATTCTCTGGACGCCCTACTTATTTCTACGGTTCAGTACGACTAATAGGACAAAGATTGTCTCTGCTCAAACCTTGTAAGTTTTCATCTTTAGTTTCCTTTTCCTTGTTTCAGAGTTCTTTATCAGTAGCTGGTTCACCATACCGAACACTTGCTCCATGACAGCGTCCTGGCGTAAATCGTCTCTACCCTACACAGGCGCAATTCGACACAATGAGAGTTAGGTAAAACCTGCGGGTGTCAATGTCGATGTGGTCCTACACGGGTGGGGTGGGGAGGAAATGCATAAAGGCAAAGCGCAATTAAGAGGTTTTCTTTGGCTTTAAGTTATAATAAACTAAAAAAAGAAAGAACAAAGATAGATTAGACTGAAGAAATTTGAGTCAGGATTTAGAAACTATGAATCTGGTGGCTGCTTATGATTGATTTTAAGAGGTACAGGAGGCATTGCTCGTAGGAAGGCAGTGTGGCCGAGTGGTCAGCGCGTCGTACTCGCAATCCAGCGGTCCCGGGTTCGAGTCCTGTTCTGACCACTACCTGGATTTGTTTCACGACAGCCCCGAGTTCAAATCCTCGGCCACGCTTGTAAATAGCCAACTGGGTTGCCTCTGGGTTGCCTCCAGCCAGTTGAGTGCTATGTTCAATTTGAATTATTTGTGTTACTTGTTTTTTCGGCCCCATTAGACTTTGTGCTATCAACACTGGCGAGGGTAAATGAAGGTTATTTATCCTACTAAGTTATTTTTTGATTGGCGTTCATAATCCTTATCTTTCCTTGTTCCTTGTCAAATTCCATTCCATCTGGGAGTATCCCTCAAGGTGTGTCGAAACACTTCGGCTTCTTTTTACTGTTTCGCTAGTACTAGTGCTGTTCAACGCTAGTAAAGTACTACATCGTAATATTATATATTTCCATACACTGAGTGAATGATACACCGCATGAGGTCACTGTACCTTCACCAGCTGCCGTCGTTTGATTCCATCAGATCCGACACAAAAGATGATCTTAGGAAGGTTAACCCCTCCGGCAAGACAAAACTTGGAGTCAAATCCCACAACATGAACAAGGTCATAATACCGACACAATGGGTCCACCTAATGAATGAACAGAACCTTAAGAGCCGATCAAAGAAAACTGGTTCTCACTGCCCTTGAAGGAGAGGTAAAAGGTCAGTCACCTGCCATTTTCCTAATTCGCGATGTTAACTTCACGGCGACAAATCTCCGCCCTTTCCACGTTCTGCGCAGAAATCTCTGGTCAGTGAGTAAGGACACTTTGACAAGAGCTAATTCTAGCACAGACTGTTCCGGAGCATTAAGTAACCGATCGGTCTAGCCGACCAGATCTTAAAGATACAGAGAGTACCATCAATTAGGCACCACCTTAGCGCTACTTAGAACATCCTTCTTTAAAACTCTAACCCAATTGATTTGAAGTATTGGTGGACAGGTGCTGTAAACAGAGGAGGGCAGCAATCACCTCAGCAGCAAGGTCACCATGGTAACCGAGCCACAGCCCAAAGCAACGCAAACAGAAAAACAACAATACCAAACAACAATACCGACACTTAATTTTTACCTTAACTTCCAAAGTGGGAACAGGTACTTCTTTGAGGTTTGAGATCCTTTTAATCGTGGCATCTGGCAGGTTAAAAGGACCTGAAATACAGATACAATGTAATAAACTTTTCGTAACCAAACCTACTATGTCATTCCCAAAGTACAAATGCACTGTTACAACTTTCCAAAGTGTGCAGACCATGTCCCTAACTTTTCCCAGAATTTGTAAATATATTTGAGTTTTTTAACCTGTTACTAAATGCCTTGACCTTAAAAAAATACTATTTTGAATTGTAGCTCTCCTGCATTGTCCAATAAAGTAAGCGTCCGCTTAAAGATCCTATTGAACTACTTAAAGTACTAAAGTATCCATGCCGTACATTATAACGGGAATATCTTTTCTGTACTTTTTTTAAAATGGAAACATGGCGTAGGACAGTGGAGAAAGAGCAAATGGTGATTGGTTACTGTTCTTGTGTAAAGGCAGGGCTGGCAGCAGCTGACAGAGTGTGTTGGAGAAGTCAAATTTCTGTCCCCATACAGAGAAATGGAAATGATAAGATGATGATGATTTTTTCTTTAATACTTAAATACTAACCTGCAATCAAGCGTTCGTTATTGTTGGGCGAGTAGGGGAATGGGTAAAAAAGAACCCCCGTTAGACCCAAAAAAGAACGCCTGATCGCAGGTCACTTTTGTGTTAACTTCTTAGCTACTGGTTGAGTGAGTAACAAAGGTGTACCTCTCTCGTTCTTGAGATGTGTGACATTGACATAGGCAAGTTCAATGTAAGCTTCACACAATAACTGCATGTGCTTTACAAGTTCTCGCTTCTTCTGTCCAATCCTTTCGATCAATGTGGAAGCTGTTTGTATACGGGCCTGAAAATGAAACATTGAGCGAGTTGTGACCAGCAAGGTTAACGGTATTGAAACTTGGACAGGGTTAGGAGACTTTTAGTCCATTTGAAAGGGGATCTGCAGCATCAACTAAGATCACTTACTTCTGTGAATCCCTTTGCTCCTCCTTTGGAGTTATTCCTCGTCAGCCTTGAAGTGTTTTTCTTGCCAGCAGTGAGATACTTGTCGTCTTTCTCGGCGTTTGCGAGCGCCAGTAAGATGAACAACGTGTGGTGAGGATGATCCACTGCGGTCCGTTCAATCAGCTGAAAAACAATTAGTATACAGTTAGTCCAGATAAAACAAACTAGTACACAAATACAAAATGACATGCGTCTTGGCAAAAGAGCTGAAGGAATGGTGCGGTTTGCTTTTAGCTTGTTGCTATCTGTGGTGTAGTAACAGTGTAATGTGGTTTACTCCAACCTCAATTTCCGTTTCGTTTATAGACCACATGAAAAGCAGCTATTACTTCAACAGAATGTACATAAGCTAAAAGGAAGGGAAGGGGGTGTATGGGAAAATAGCTAATCTTCAAAGTGAAAACAGTTTCCCGCAGCAACATTGTAGTAAAAGACGTAAATCACGTAACATGGAGTAAGCCCGTTGACAGCCATTGTCTGTTTCTGTGGAACGTTAAAACCTTACAGATGGTTCACAGCCTTTCTCCACATCTACTTAGATCGATAAATGCTCGTCATACCTCGTTAAGAATTCCCTGGAACAAGCGATTATCGTGTGACTTTGTCCCGAGTCTGGCTGCCAGCTGGTACATCAAAGGAAGAAACTTGCGCGACTGAATCTTCATCAGCCCTCTCTATAAGGTGTACAGATTACAATTGTCTTGATTATTTGAGTAATTAAAACTCTGACACTTTGAACAAAATGTCTTTGTGACTATAAAATTCTTTTAACGATAGCATTGGTAACATGGTGGAACATCACCACGATAATGCTCTTTCTTTTTCTCTTGTCTGACTGGCAAGCTAACTCCTGCTCTATCTCTTCGCCGGCCCTCTCAAAATTTCACACACTCTTTTAATTAACAAAATTTTAACCAACCTTTACCATCTCGGAGACATCCTCCTCGTTGGCATTGTCGAACCACAGAGAGCATAGTCTGAACACCCTCATGTCATACTTATCCTACAACAATTAAGAAGAAGATTGCATTAAAATAGTGAGGACGTAATGGAATGGGATCAGATTTTGATCTCGTTTAATTCCAGTCTTGGACAGGAAAGGAATCGGTTTTGAGTTGCAGTTTGTACGTCCGAACAGAGAGCCCCCATCAATGCTGAGATAGGGTGGTCTTAAGTCCAGAGGTCGAAATCTTAAATAATTTTAACTTTATGTAGACGGTGTAAATAGTGTCCACAATTAGTTTTTTTCTAAAGCTAAATAATCTTTGACGCTTACAGTCAGTCGATCGGTCGGTCGGTCGGTCGGTCAGTTAGTCAGAAGTAAAATGTTTTTTGCTTAGCAATTTCTAACGTACCCCAGTTTCCAGCGTTTTGATGTAATATTCCACAGCAGTCTTCAAAAACGTCCGCTTATCCTCAGCTACTTGCTGAAGCTCTCTCTCATCCATTTGTGCCTGTAGATTCAGCGTTCTAGTGTACCTGTCTTTACCGGATTCATACATCTGCTGCAGCTTTTCTGACTCCACCTTTGAACAAGAGAGTATCACAGGCCGTGTTTTAATTAGCTTCCGACGAAGACGCAGATCTCTGGGATGGTCACACAATCGTGCGCGTGACGCCCAAAGAGGGTGTACTTAAGTGGCTATGTTCTATCAGGATGATGCTTGGTTGTTGTTCTTGTCATGAGTAGTATTTATTTAAGCGCCTGAAAGTAGGCTTATCTTCAAACAGGCCGTTTCCGAGTAGCCTTTTGCCTTAGTTTGAAAACTGTGTTCCGCCTACAGGTTCATTTTCATGCAAATGAAACTCATCTTCACATGAATAGTTTTGAAACAGAGGCACAAGGTAACTCGGAAATGGTCCATTGGCTTTAACTGTGAAACTCCTTAACAGTCCTTTAAAACGGCAGGACAAATGAAAAGTATGTATAAAAATTAAAGCAGGTTTTGAATACATCATGAATTCAAACTAAGATAACTTAGTTCCGACGCGAGGAAGATCAATAGTTGTTGGGACTGAACTTTTAAAGTACTAATGGATTCCTCTCTTACTTCATTCACAGATTTTCCACTTTTGCTATTGGGAATTTTGCAAGGGTTAAAGGTAGAATTGAACCCTGACCTTGGATTTCTTCATCAAGTTCTCCTTATTTTCGTAAATACTCGAACTCATGAAGTCCACCTTCTTCTGGTATTGAGTATCAGCAAACCATGCAAGCGACAGGAAGGCCTGCAACACAAATCAACAATAACTGATCCACAGCCAGTTTCTCTTTAAATATCAACCCAATGTCATGCAAAATGGTAACAAGAATAAGTAAGTCATCAATTAGATTACGACGTACAGTCATATGTATGGAGAACTGATATTTCTTAATAATAATATAGTATATAGTTTGCCTGTGGGAGACGCGGTGGCCTCGTGGTTAGGGCGTTCGCCTCCTGATCGAGCGGTCTGGGTTCGAACCCTGACCGGGAACATTGCGTTGTGTTACTGGGAAAGACACTTTACTTTCACAGTACCTCTCTCCACCCAGGAGTATAACCGGGTAACGGCGAACTTAATGCTGGGGGTAACCCTGCGACGGACTAGCATCCCATCCAGGGGGGAGTAGAAATACTCCTAGTCGCTTCATGCTACAGAAACCGGGATAAGCTCTGGCCTGATGGGCCACTTGGCTTGTGCAGCCTTTACCTTTACCTATATAGTTTGTCTAATGCAGTCGTTTGAAAGAATCTTGAAATGTAGATCGCGACGTTTTAACTGCTTACTGCTAGCCTTAATCAGGCGTTGATAGGATGATCACGAGGTAACATTTATATCACAGGAGTGGGCTGTGATTAACTGTCACCAATGAAATACTTTACTTGTATCCTTCCACGATGAATGACAATAACCTTTCACAATATAATTTATTGCTATTTCTCCAATTCATCCAACTTAACGGGGCATTGGGCGGAAACATTTTTATGAGTGTCCTAGGAGATGCTACACTAAGCAATGTTTCGTGTTAGTTGTCTCGAGAGTCGCGTGAAAGAGACCTCTCTTAATTCCGCAATCTTGTCCTAGAAACCTTAGAACCACATTCGAATACTGATATCTGAAACATGGTTCTTTGGTACAATGGAATTAAGAAACTAATTTCTGACTATTCAGTGTGTCATGGGTACAGGTAATGAGTGGGTTTGAAATCACATGCAGTATCAAGCAATACATCTCGTCTTTGGGAAAGTCTGTTAAAAACACGGATGAATCAAATCAACTTTTTTCTTGTATAAAAAACCGAATGCTTTACTTGACCCCCATACTCTAACTTTAATATTTATAAATTCTGGCCAACATATACTGTAAACATTAAAAAGCAGTAACTTAATTTGTAAATGTAATCTGTGAGAATAAAGCGTGTTTAAGTTGTTATAATGAAACACAATCTTCATTGCCAGAAAAAGATGTACATTACATAGACGAGACAAACTATTAACGTGTAAAAGAGAAGAATATATAAACAGTGGAGGAGAGGCGTTTTAATAGATTACAATCCACCGAATGTGAACAAAAATACACACCTCGATTTTGGAGGCTTGATTAGTCCCTTCCATGCAATCCATTAGACAAGCGGCCTAGTAAAGCAAAAGATAGTTTTAAAGATGTAATTCACTGAGGCACGATCAAGGAAGTTCCACGTTCATCCAGCCTCCTTGTTACAAAAGCGAAGACGTTTCTTCCGGCACTGAAACGTTGTCTCGTTAATCCCGAGATAATGGAGTCTAGTTTGGTAACCGAGAGTTCACTTTTTTCTGCTTACCTTCTCTAAGTACTTTTCGATTATAGTGTTTGGATTCTCAGATTTTGATTCTGCCAGCCAGGTACCATACAGTCCCAATGCTTGCGGATAAAGATTAATCACCTCCGCGCTCTGATCCTGAACCTGAAATACCAGCCAAGCAGTAACTTAAGCTACACAGAAATGTCAGTGCTTACCATGCACAACCGTGAACAAGCTGTAAAAGTGCTTGTTAAGCAGCTACTTTACATCTGCATTTTACACCCTCGCATCAAGTGGGCGATTACTCTTTACAATCAACATTGTCTTGAGGTAAATCCTTTTAAGATACTCGGAAAGAGCTATTTCAAGGCAGATATATAGGCCGGGTAATTCGAAGGTTGGTTAACGTTAAACCAGGATTTAAAAGTTAAACGAAGTATTAATTTTTGTTGCGTACAAAACGTTTTTGCTGCTTATGTTTCGTGTAGGTTGAGATTATTCACAATCAAAACAAACTGAAGGACAAACAACACAAACAGAAACCTCACCGAATAGTTATAAAACTGCAATCGAAATTCTCGCTAATCCTGGGTTAGCTTTAAAAAACCCAACCCTGGGTAATACTATAACCTGTACGTTTTCAAGATGGCTGCAGTGTTCTAAAAAGCTCTATGTCTGGATAAACGTTGTACAAGTGTTTCTTCAAGGTACATGCAAAGAACGTTTCCGAGGCACATTGTCTGGGTATTGCTGTAAATGGTACCTGTTCAAGGTTCCTGGTTAGGGACTTCAGTAGGTACATAGCTGTGTCCTGTTCACCTCGTGCCCAACGTAATTTTGCTTCCTCCATTTTCCAGGACCAAGACACCCCAAGGTCCCTCCCTCCAAGCCGACTTTGTATCTCGGTGATATCACCTTGCAGTTGTCTTAATCGAAACAGCGCTTTCTCAGCAACCTGTGAATGATATATAATGTTGACTACTAATGCAGATGGTGGCTGTGGGAGTGAGGGTGATATTTTCTTGCCAGAGGGAAAGAAAGGGAGATCCTGCCTACGTCCTTGTTCTTAAATCCCTCACGTAGTAAATAAGCAATTTCCGAACTGCTTTTTACCTCTTTTTCGAAACGAGTCCTGGTGTACAACCTTTCGTCTGGAAATGAGATTGATTTGCAAGGCAATGAACGTACAAGAAATATTCATTTCTATATAAAATGTTGTGCACCAAGACCCGTTTTGAAACAGAGGTAAAATGCAATTTGGAAATTGCTTATTGATTTGGCCAACTTTTAGATAGGTCTGCGCCTTTGCTAGGTGGTAGCTCTTGGCAATACCACTGTTATACGTGCAAAATTAAACGAGATATGCACTTTTGAGAAAACGTCCAATTTCCAGATACAGGTCTAGCAGTCCCTTGCGACATAGGAATACCAACGTGAAGAGTAAACAACTATTACAACTGAAGAATAATTGTTTGAAACAGGCTAAAACTCGTTATCTTTTAAATTTTCAAACTAAATTCGGATGTTCTTTGTATTCGACGAGTGAATTCCAAATTAGCAATCACAAGGGTAAAGAGTAAAGATTGCCCCGTACTTGCCAGTATAATTGCAGTAAAATCCGGCCTTCTCAAACTCATTAATAATTGATCAAGTTTAAACAAAGGAAATCATGATTGTGACGGTGTTTGAATATCTGATCTTAATTAGCATAGATTTTTACGATTTTATTTCTCCATTTTCTCCTTAGTTTTAGTTTCGATTGAGAGGATATATCAAGCACGCAAGACAGTGTTTGACCACATTACCAAACAACTCAAAGTTCGTCAGAAATGCTCTGCTACGCAACTCTCTTCTCGGTGTTTGGAGTTGTGGTCAAACACGGTCTTTCCTATTTGACATATTACTTCTCATCTCGTTATATCTTACCTGTGGATTGTGCGACCAGCGCGCTCTCTTTGCCTGCATCTCTAGATGAATGGCAAGATCCTTGTAAGCTCGTGCCAATTTTTCTGGACTGTGGCTTTTAAGCCTTCTCAGTGTAACCAGAGTTTGCAGCATGGAGGTACGTAAAGCAAGCACAGGCTCCAAGAATTCAAAATCATTGTCAGGAAGTGGAAAGCGCTCATTCCAAATATCGACCAAGCTGTCTTCCGTGCTAAACAAAAAGGACAATAGTTTACATAAACGTGAAGTTATTGATTATGGAGAAAAAGTTGATTCATGGAGTATTTATCTTGTTTAAAAAAATATACCGTGGAACCTCCAATAACGGCCACCTCTCCACAACGGCTACTTTTTTCGGTCTCGGCGGACAGTCCATACATTCACTCTAATTATAACCTGTCCACAACAGCCACCTCCCCACAACGACAACGGCCGCTAAAACGCGTCCCGACTTCCAAAATAACCTCTCTACAACGGCCAGTTCACCAGTGACTGACAAACGGTGTACACAGAACCCCATTTTTATTGTAAAAGGTCTCCAAACTTCATCCGTACCGCGCTTCCGGCGTTGGTCTATGTTTTAGTGTCGTTTCTGTTTTATTGAAATATTTCGATTGTGTTATGTAGTTTATTGCTAAAATAAGCATTTTTTTCAAGAAAAGAAATGTTGCATCCTCGAAAAAAAAACAGGTATCGTGTTACACTCCTACCTCCCCATAACGGCCACCTCTCTACAACGGCCACTTTCCTCTGTCCCCAAGGTGGCCTTTGTGGAGAGGTTCGACTGTAAACAATATCTGTCCAAAAGCCAAGTGGCGCATTGAGGCATCCTTTAATAATATGGAATGACAAGAAGTATGGCCAGTAACTCCTGGATGCTAGTCATAACATTTTGTCACGTTACATCACTAATTCACCAGTACCAATTCATGCAAGTGTATGTAAAGAGTCAGCCTGCTTAAGCCTGTAAAATAGCTGACTTACCCGTTAATTATACTCCCAAAATTCTCCAATTCCACAATGCACTGCAGCCGTGACAATGAGGGATACACACTGCGCACGCTCTCCAGACTGACATGCGCTATGTCGTCCATGACATGTGATCTACAACCACAACCAAATGCTTTGAAGGTTGCCGGGAATTACAACTGACAGGATAGGCCATTTTGCAGTTGTGTGCTTAGTTACTGGAGGTGGCCTTGCTTTAATACAGACCTCTCCGCTTTTCTCATTAAATGTCAACTAGTTAGCACAAGAACTTAATTTACACAACATAAGCAGTGAGGTCTGTATGAAAACAAGGTCACCTCCAGCCTCGCTGCCATTCAAAAACCAGGACACTGAACAAACAACTGTAAAGTGGTCTATCATAGAATTTAAATCTTAAGCCCTGGTCAAACGGACTCGCAAGTAGTCGCAAGTAGCCACAAGTTGAACTTGCGTAGAGACTTGCGTTGGGTGGCCAAACGGACTGGCAAGTTTCCTCACAAGTACACGCAAGTCGCAAAAAAACCCATTTCAAGGCAGACATATACTGTATTTCATTGGCTAATAATAGGTTAATGGACGTCACTCAACTTGCGCTGACTTGGGTTGGGTGGCCAAACGGTGAAAAACGTGCGTCGACTTGCGTGCAAATTTGATCCCGACCAAAGTGAGCGCAAGTCATCGCAAGTCAACGCAAGTCCACGCAAGGGCCTGGCCAAACGGAGTCGCAAGTAGACGCAAGTTGAGAACTTGCGTCTACTTGCGACTCCGTTTGACCAGGGCTTTCATCGTATATGTCATAGTTTATAGAGGGAATGGTTATGAAATCTGGCAAAGTTCCTTGCTGTTTGTTTTTGTTGGCTATTTTAGGGTTTAACCCCGCACAAAACCTGGCAAACTCCAAAAGGTGGTTATGTGTGCTAATACAACTAACCAACAGAAGCATTGCGATTATGTTACCCCTGCATAGTCAATGAGCATAAAACAAAAGATGTGCAGGGTCAAGAACCTTCCAACATAAATCTTAGCCCATTTGTTCGCATCTTTGATGTTTACCGGGCTTCTTAACCATTCCCTCTATTACCTACATGTATGTATATACGGAGTAATTCGAAGTAAGAGAGAAGGAAATTTGAATTGAGTGACGGTAATGTAGGGAAATATTTACACAGCAACCTACATTCCGCAGTCGGCGACCAGTTTTGGGAAGGGAACATTCTTCACGGAAAAAAAAACAATAGGAAATTCAACCGATAAACACAAGCAGATAGACGATACTTTATTTAACTATTACATACTTTGCATTGTCCAGTGTGCACTGAAAGAGTTCCCATTCTTCTTCTTGCAAGGCACACAAGCAGCTGTACAAGGACTGGTGAAATCCTTGAGTTGTATCCGAGCCAACACTTTGAACGTAAGATTGAAAAATGTTTACACACCCTTGCACACGCATCTGTTTCTTATCGGACTAAGCAATTCGTACAGTTAGAGGCTGGGTGGGTAGAGAGAAACACTGTAAGCGTTGTGTCTCGCCCAAAAACCTAATGCAGTTACTTTGACCAGCGCTTGAAAAAAGACTACTCTGTGCCCAGGACACTGAGCTTTAGGCCATTGTACATGTACATCTCTCGTTACAGAATAGTTTATACTCTTGAACAGAATTAATGGATTTCTGAATCAAGAAAGCTCTCTACAAACGTTTTCAAACCCACGTTTTGGGAAAATGTCTCAATTAAATGAAAGAAACACCTTGTTCAGTCTCCTTCATAACAAGAAGATCTCCAACCACTGGCCGTCTCAAACTGCCATGCAATTACATAGAAGACGAGAAATACCTGGTACTTGTGTCCAAATCCCACACACAATTCTGCCAAGCAGACTCATACTGTAACTCTGCTACCTGGGGAAAGTCGGATGAATGGGAGTTGACAGAAATGCAGCCCTGGGAATCACTGACAACATGTGCGCTTTACAAGGATGGTGTGGAGATCAAGAATAAGAAGGACGTGGAGGAAGATGTAGATGGAGAGGAGAAGGTGCTTGTGCCGTCTAGAAAGTGTTATAATCGAACTATTCAAATTCTGTGTTCTAAAATTCATAACCCCTGTTTTTGCTATACATATCTATACATTTACTATACATTTCATTTACTTCTGACCAATTTCCTTACCTCGGCTGTTGCCTGTGGGTTCTCAGATGACAGACCCTTTAGGTACATCCTCATTACATGATCTAGACCAAAGTTCTTCATTGACTGAAAAATGGAGACAAGCGTTAAAGAACATTACCCTACGCTGTAGAATATTGTAGCTACATCTCTCACCTGCAATAGTCCAGTTTGTGATGAACCAGAAATGTTCTGCATTCGAAGGTCACAAGCACCTTAAAAGAAAGAAACCCATTACTATAACACTGCAACACAAGACAAGCAGCAATTGCAGGAAAGGGTGGGAAGAGGGCTTGTTCCAGTTCAGTAAGCTGCAAACAGTGCTAAGCAGTAATTCCATGATGTCTTGCTGTAATCATCTAGTATCCGGAGTTATTTCCCTTTGTAAAGCATCAAACTTAAACTGGACAGGCCTTTATGAGCTACATTAATTTGTAGAAAAGTTAGAAAGACGGAAGATAATTTTGGCCACTTTGTGGTGGTCCTTTTTCCTTTGGTAAGGCAACCTGACAAACATAGAGTATGCAACGCATGGTGGACTAGCAACACATATTCAGGGAATTGAACAAAACCAGAGGCCTAGGAAAAACTTAACGTTTGGGTTTACAGCTCAACATTGTATTACCAGTGCCATGATTGAATAGTGTTTAGTACATATGAGTTTTCTAACAAGTGCTATCAACACACAGAGTTAGATCTACCTGAGATACACTTTCATGAGCTCCTGGTAACATTTATTACACACACTGCTCGCTAAAATTACATTGGAATATATTAAAGTAGTTGATTCGAGACTAAAATGTCACATCAGCAGTCTTCCTACCAAGTGCCTTATCCCAAGCTTGCTCATGCATGTATGTCCGAACCCTGGAATCTATATCAGCCAGTCGGCCTGCTCCGGCACCATACACGCTGTCCGGTTCGCCGATAGATCCATACGCCTCAAGAACAAGGGTCTGATAACTAGTACTCAGGCTCTCATCACTGCTTTGACTCGTAGCAATTTCCATTTCTAAATTCTGACTGTTAGATGGCAGCGAAATGGACACTGGGGAATCCGGATTGGATCTGAAAATAACAACAGATGAACATCGGTTGGGGAGTAAATGGAGGTATTGTGGTTGAGACGTGAGTCCTTAATCGTGCATGTTGATCGTCAAACGAACGTTTTCTTTTCACGTTAGATTTGAATTTGGATGTTTCATAAAGGTAGGCGATCCTCTAGAAGTTAAACGTTGTTGAAGCACTATGATAATAGTATTGGTAATTGTTATGCGTACTGCGGATAAGCAACCGAAGCCGAAAGTAATCCTTGCAGTTGTCAAGCATCTTGAGCAATGTAAAGATCTTTTGCTGGATGGGATCTAAATCTAAGACTTCTGTGACATCAGTTTCAATCGAGTTGAAAGAAGACACTGTAGCCATTCTTTGGGACTCCCTTTGCAACTGTGCAAGTTGTCTTCTTATTATAGAATGTTTATCATTTTGCTTTCAAATAAAAAAAACGTATTCAACTTACTTTTGTATGTCGGCCCATATTTCAGTGTAAAGGAGAGCTGTGAAATATGCAGAACATCTCTGAGCTGCTGAGGCAACTTCCAAGTAATCCAAGTCCAGCCAGAAATTGTTGTCCCACAAAGTGCCCTGGCCACGTCCCTTTTTAGGTACATTCTGTGTACGTAGATACGTAACAACGGCCAGCATTGTTCGCACACTTTCCTTCTTCACTGCACAAAACACAAAGCAGACAGCATATCAAAAGAAGGATCCATTCCTCATTTATACTTCGCCAACCAACCAGTAGCTAAGCTTCTCAAGCTAAGCAAGTCTCTATAACTTAATGAAATAGCATTTGCATCTTTCTACTACATTCTATTCCTTTGAACTGAAAAGGTAATCTACATCGTCCTTTGATATTCTGTCATCGCATTTCAGTATCAGCTGAAGAATGGCCCAAATAAACATGAAGTAACATTTCAAAAACATTCCTTTCCAAGGAATCTCTCTTACACCGTGGTTGTAACAATATGCCATGGACGGGTCTGTTACCTCCACTGGAGCTTGAAGATGACACCACTGTTGGTAATGGGGAGTTGGCCCTACTTGGAGAGACACTTGATCCATTGCAGTGGCTGAAGAAATTTCTGAACTGTCCAGACAAAGTTGTCCTGATGGCATCATTACCACATTCTAGCATGTTATGGATCAGGTACGGAAATACATGTTCTGTAAACTCTACCTACAGGTAGGTAGAGTGGAACGTCGTTAGCATTTCTGTCGTTTAAGAATTATGCCCAAATGTGAGTTACTACCCAAGTCGACGCATTGTTGACTACCTATTTAGGCCCTAGATACAGAACCCTAACAATCACCATTTAAATATGTAGCCAACAATCCACACACATACTCAACAGTTCTCACAAAACGGGTGAAGTTTACTCATCATACTACTTACAGCTTCAGTATCGAGCATAGCTCTTGTGGTTAATTCACAGCTGTTTTCCCAAGTCAAAAGGCAGTGAAACCTCACAGCTGGTTTGTGCGGTCGTCTGCTACCTCAAATGGTGAACACAGTTTACTCCTCAGAGTTTGAAACTTGCCTTAGCGCCGCAGCATCGAATTAGTAAATGTTTCAAATTATTTGTATCCTTTATCTTTTTTTTGAAATGATCACAGATCGAAAAATGTAGTTCCTCCTCATAACGAGATTTCCACTGGAACCAAATTAATTCATATGCACAAGAGGACGTTATATAAAGAAACCTTACTGAATCACTGGTTACCTTTGTTTTACACATGGGAGATAATATAAGAAGAATTTCATCCTGGACAAAACCACTTTCGATCAATGTGCAGGCTAGTCTGGTCAACCACTGTTCATGATTGTATTCCTGACCGTCAAACCCTGGTATCCATAAATCTGCAGCTTCTAACTGGACATCAGATAAACCAAGGCCCGTCTCCATAGCTGATGTAGTACCTAACGACTGTGGCTAAACAGAGCAAACAATTAAAATCATTACGCTTTTTCAAGAACGTGCAACAAGGTAGGAAAATGTTCTGTTGTTCCATAAGTGTGCAGTTTTGTAGTTGTGTAAACTTATGATAGTCGTGAATTCAGTCTTACTTTTAATCGCCTTTGCCTAGTGTTTCACAGCCTGAATAAGCTAATCCAGGATAAAGGCGAATGTTTATTGCATGTTTGCACGTTTTCAGTAAGGAGATTTTCCTTTGAATCATACTCCATCACATTTCTCTTGACTGATGCCCAACGCCCAAAGTACGACTGGTAAAAAACATTTTTAGACAGAANTCAATAGTACCTTTTCAGCTCGTTCATCATCCCCTAAGGCATATGGAGTTAAGGTGCTTGTGATGACAGGAAGGTGGCTCCCAAATTCCTGTTTAAGAAACTTTATCTCAGGTTACCTTACAAACTCGACAGCCCAGGATTAAAGCAACTTGACTAACATCCTCTTAATAAATTTTACATTCCATTCTTTGTAATTATATTTCATTATCTTGTAAATTTTTTATTACAAATTTCCTGCTACTGACCTAGATCATCGGAACAACATTTGACCAAAGAAAATGTTCTGTATTCCATGCCATCAAGCCCGGGGAGTGGCGCCCTCATAACGATCCATTAGGATGCACATGGTAAATCGCTTTGTAATAACATGGGAAAAGGGTAACTCTAAAAAACGCTTTGCTTTAATTTATCTCACCTGGCTACAACACTCCACAGCTGCTTTACAAACATAGTAAATCAGATTGCAACACGGTAAGAATAAGTCATCATCCACTACAAGGTTAACTTGCTGTTGCCTGGGCTGTTTCTTGGATTGTGTTTCATCACTGATAATTCTTAGCAGAGAATAAATCACATCTCGGATAAAGAAGGCCCATGTGTCCCCTAATCCACTTGGCAAGTCTTTCAGGAGGAGCAGAACAAAAAGCCTGTACATGGACAAGATTCTTCTCTTCTCGTGGATAAGGTGAGTTTCAGCAATGCGAAATGTAAGGGACAACAAGATCTTCTGAATACTATCCTGTTGAACAGAGAACAATACAGGTACATAAAGAACATGTAACGATGAATAAAATTCTGTAATGTGTCAAAACGAGAGAAGGTGTTTCATTACAGTAACAGACAATGAGAGGACATGAAGACAAGATTGATCATCGCAGTTATATAAACAGCCTAAGCAGCTGTGAAATTGAAGCCTGGAAAAAAAATTCAAGCTTGAACGGGATTTGAACCCATGACCTCTACGATACCGGTGCAGTGCTCTACCCACTGAGCTATCAAGCCAACTGCACGCTGGTCACGTTGTGAGTTCGTAATNCTCTAGTAATGTATGGGTTGCTACGCTATGTCATGTTACAAAGTGTTGTTGCCGCTGGTTGCTGTTGGTGTTCAAAATGAGAGCTCTGGAAGACCCCATTTTGAAATAACCGAATTCTGCCCATCCGGTTTCACTGTGCAGTCTGCATCTATGGCGCACACCTGAAATGGTTGCTCCCAGAGCCCTTGTTTTCCGACCGCTGGTCAAGGGGAACGAAGACTCTGGGAACGAGCTTGGTTGGTGTTATATTACAAGTCGCTGTTGGTGAATTAGTTAAAATTCAAAGAAAGAAGTAACAAGCCATTATTCTCACCTCTTGGGTGAGGGTGCCCACAAGAAATGCATGGCTCTTTTTGGCTTGCTCGACATTAACCAGCTGTTCACGTGAAATTGAGTTATCTACATCTGTTCTACTTTGCGCAGCAAACGATGGAAAGAGAAATGAAGTGATGGTGCAGAAGCTGTCTTTGATGAACTCAGTGCAGTCACCTCTTGGGTTCACTTGTCTGGTTAACAACTCAATGGACTGATGCACAGTATCTGGTCTCGATATGAGATTGGCCAAAATTGATGAATAATGATCCCTTTGGATAATAATATATACGGAAAGATCTTATTTGTTAAAAAATAAATAAATTGGTGGTATGGATATCTGGGGTGGGCACTCCGTAAATCATTGGGTAGGGGTGTGCCGCTTGGTCACTGAAATCCTTATCCTATACTAGACCATGATCAACTTGACTTTGCAACCTTATTCTAGACTAGGCACCAAAACCCCCTACCCTATCTCAGACGAGCTATTTTCCATGCAGAAACGTGATAACTATCGTAGTCCAACATATTTTTACTAAACCAATCTCTTACAAAGTCACTTCCGAGTTTTAATTTCTATTACAGAACCCCAGGTAACAAACTCGTATTCCGGACTAAATTAGTTTTACACCGTCCACTTTCCCAGTAAATTATACCCTAATCTAGACCAAACCTGTCTGATTTCTATACCCTATCCCAGACTAAACTGCCTGAAAACCATATCCTTCACAGCCCCACATACCCATATAGCTTACATATGGGAGTATTCCCCACCCCCAACCCCCTGGGAATCAAGAAAAAAAAAAAAGTTAATACTCACTGGAAGAAATCAGGAATTTTCTTGTAGTCCATCAACTGGCAGGGGAATTCAGTGATCTTTAAGCCGTTATTTAGCCAGTTATCNATTTTGGTGACCAGATCCTCAGTTAAAAGAACTCAGATGAAGAGATACACATGAAATGCTTAAGTTAGCAGAAAAAAGTAAAACAACTGAACAGTAAGGTATGTATTGCATACCCCGATAAAACCACTATTGTGTATTTGTATCTTAGCAACCATTCTAGACAGTTATTTATACCACTGTTGAACTGTTCTGATATCAAAATGACGATTGGGACTAAACCAACTAGACATCAAAACACGAAGCACTCTTAAATGCAGTACGTACCTCAACACATCCAAGAGAACCTCCAAGTAAACGCTTGGCAGAGGGTTGATGCTCGATGCCAAGGCAAAAGCTACAGTAAAATACTGAGGAAAAAAAGAGGAAAAAAAATATTAGCAAGTATTGTATGCTTACATTAAATAACCTTAAGAGAAACTAGAATTAATTTGACAAGTTCTGGAATGTAGGACCCTTTTGGAACAGCATTCAGGGAATTGAATTGATGAGATTACGGTATGAAAGTGTTCAAGCACTTCAAGCATGACCAGTTTCATGTTCTGAACAGATAACTTGTTTGCTCCTTCTTAATTAGAATGTACATACCAACTTTAGATCTCCATCACTGGACACATTAAAGTCCTACAAATAAAGAATAATAAACCTTAAAGCACCTGGGTGAAGACAAACATGACCTTCCAAAATTACAAGTAAAGCCACCCACAAACCCATCTGGTAGAGGCTATGGCTTACAAAAAAAATATGACATAAAAGCATAACATGACTGAAACAATACTCCTCTTAGCCTGAAAAACCAGGCAGTGTTTGTGGTGAGACTTGTTATAAATCTGCTTGCAAACAATTCTGATTTTCTTTAGGTTTTGTATGGATATAATGTACAAAGCAAACTACTTTATCTGCATATTATTTACAGCTTAACAAGCACAATGTCGATGACAGAAATTACAAATAATTCTGTTAATCATATTTTCACGTCGAACCTTACCTCTAATCTCAGGAATTCAACAATCCTTTCTTTAACTTCATTTGGATGAGGATCAGAAGAGGATATAGCAATATCATCACAATCATGCATGACCCAGCTACACAGAAACCTTGCACAACAGTCTCTAAGTGTGGAATGCACTAGAAAGAATATTTCAATAGTAAGTGCCCATGGTATGAGATCATAATTTGACTTCCGTCATGTGTCAAGATCCCCATGATGTTTTCCTAAGGTGCCCCAAACTTACCGGATTTGACGTTTTTCTGTTGTGACTGGCTGTGTGTTCTTTGAACTGCTGTGGTCTCCTCACTCGAGGATACTTCAGACTCAAAATCATCAAAGCCATCCATCTCATCAAGAGACCTCATACTTGTGCTTTGGTTGAGGAAACTCTTACTTGTGCTTTGACTGAGGAAACTCTTTTCTGTGATATCAAGCCGACTACAGTTGGCTGATGCACACTGTCCCCACTACAGAATACATGATGGAAAAGAATTCTTGAAAAGCCTTGAAAATGCTGGGGTTCAATCTTGTGTTAGGTTTGAAAATTTTTAAGCAGTTTAGTTTTTGTGTTCCTTATGAGCAATCTAAAACCACCACAGTATATAGATACACTTACAGTGACACATACATCTCAAAAGTTACCTTATTACACTATGTAATCAAAAGAAAAGATCATAACAGAAAAGGACTGATGCTGGACTGCAAACAAAAGGTTTCTACAGTAAATTCTCCTCTACATTCAAGTATTAAACAACACAATTGTGTGTAATTCTCCAAAGTTTAAGACGTGGCAATTTTAAAAAAGCTTGAAAATGACTCAAGACCATCAAAATCAACCAAAACTTCATTATTGTCAACACTTAACACATTGAAAGGAATTCCAATTCTTGGAAACAAAATGCCTCTACCTCTCCACTGTAAATACTGTAAACATCATTTATGAATGAGCCTGAAATCTTTTCTCTTAATATAATCCCAACAAACTGCTCAGGAGAATTCACTTCTGTCTGCAAACAAAGAAATAAACAAACGCCACTAACATGATGCAAGCATAAGCACATGTAGATCATTATGTGCAAGCAAATGAGCAATGAACAAAAAATTGNTGCTGTGGTCTCCTCACTCGAGGATACTTCAGACTCAAAATCATCAAAGCCATCCATCTCATCAAGAGACATCATACTTGTGCTTTGGTTGAGGAAACTCTTACTTGTGCTTTGACTGAGGAAACTCTTTTCTGTGCTATCAAGCCGACTACAGTTGGCTGATGCACACTGTCCCCACTACGGAATATATGATGGAAAAGAATTCTTTAAAAGCCTTGAAAATGCTGTGGTTCAATCTTGTGTTAGGTTTGAAAATTTTCAAGCAGTTTAGTTTTTGTGTCCCTTTCTTTCATTTACAAATATTACGCAAAGGATACAAAGTTTCTTATGAGCAATCTAAAACCACCACAGTACATAGATACACTTACAGTGACACATACATCTCAAAAGTTACCTTGTTACACTATGTAATCAAAAGAAAAGATCATAACAGAGAAGGACTGATGCTGGACTGCAAACAAAAGGTTTCTATAGTAAATTCTCCTCTACATTCAAGTATTAAACAACACAATTGTGTGTAATTCTCCAAAGTTTAAGATGTGGCAATTTTAAAAAAGCTTGAAAATGACTCAAGACCATCAAAATCAACCAAAACTTCATTATTGTCAACACTTAACACATTGAAAGGAATTCCAATTCTTGGAAACAAAATGCCTCTACCTCTCCACTGTAAATACTGTAAACATCATTTATGAATGAGCCTGAAATCTTTTCTCTTAATATAATCCCAACAAACTGCTCAGGAGAATTCACTTCTGTCTGCAAACAAAGAAATAAACAAACGCCACTAACATGATGCAAGCATAAGCACATGTAGATCATTATGTGCAAGCAAATGAGCAATGAACAAAAAATTGTTNCGAGAATTCAGTGAAAACGGCAAAGCCAAGGCAATAACACGTCATACTATCACTGTGTATATTAAATATGTATGGATATTTATCAATGTTACAGTAAAGCCATTTACTTGAAAATGGTATGAGTGACCCTTAGGTCTGTAACATTTGTGTAATCAACACTAGACCTGCAATGTGGTGTTGGCATCTTGCTAAATATAAGAACCCCATTTCAAAAGATTCTGAAAGAAACTCTTAAATCTACCACAAAGCAACTCATACCTTTTGTGTTTGGTTTGCAGCTGATGTAATATTGAAAAGAAAGGATGAAATTCAGTTGCAGGGAGACTTGATGGATGTTTCACGAATAATGCAGCTAGGACCTGCAACCTAAGGGGAAAATAGTAATGTCTCCATTGCTTTGGACATCTAAGAGAGTTCTTTAGTACAGGTTGCTGTGTCAAACAACAAGTTAATTTACATGTAAGTTTAAATCATCATTACATCACAGACTTTAAACAGTTTAAGCTTGAGAATAACTTTGGGCTTTCCCTAAAATTGATTAAGAGACTTTAAGACAGAGAAAACTTGTCCCTTTCATTTGCACTAACCAGCTGCACTTTCCATATTCTTGTCAATATCTCACTTTGTTATACTATTTATTGCATATTTTCATTTTATTTCTCACTGTACAACTGACAATGGATGATGTCTCATCCGAAACAAACTTATAAACTTACCATGACAGTAAACCCAAGTTTTCAGAATTGCTTTCGAGTGTGTCTCTTGCCACATGCCAGCCAAGTTCAATTTTCTGACGTTTGGCTCCTTAACCAAACAAATATGTGATGTTAATGATGAAACTCTTGTTCAAGTATATCCTCCCAAATTAACTCTACACTGTTCAACAACCTTCATTGCAAAGCTCACACACAAAGGTTTAATAGCTAAAGGTAAAGTCTGGATAGGAGCCGAGTGCCCCATCAGACCACCCCTTACCTCTGTTTTAAGTAGCCTGAAGTGACCAATAACTTTCATTTGAATGGTTACACACTGCATTTTAATCTACAGTATTGCTTACTAGTTAACAATTTGTACTTTTTCATGAGTAAAGCTAAACCAACCTGGTTCAGCTGTAACATCTTGTGTAGAGTTCACAGAGTGGTATGCTGTTTGTGCCCAGAACACCTAGAATATAAAAACTACCATGTACCAACATGCACAAGGTTCATCTGGAGCTCTACTAAACACTGGAAAATGATCGAGGGCATACTTAGGAATGATATCCAAATTTGATCTGAAACATCCCTCTGACACATATTTATTTGTTGGCCTTTTTAGGCCATAAGTCAACTACTTACATGTAGGCTCCTTTCAGTATTAGTTTCATATCTTNGCGATAGAAATCTTGAGCTCATAATCTAATTGCTTAATAGGTAGAGAGTAAGTAGTCTAACACTGTGCAGTTGTTAACAAAATGGCTGCCCCTATGGATATGGATCAGTTCGTGAGGGCACAATTACACATTTAGAAATCTCCAGCTCATAATTTCATTACTTTAATCAATCACAGTACCCACAACAAAGATTGAGACTCACAAGTACATGTCTTAAGGCAATTAATTTTGCCACACTTCTAATTTATCGTTATAGTACATGCAATTATTATGGACGCCATATCAAAACTGCAAGTACCTGTTGTCTCTTGTGGACATTTGAACGTTGTAGCTCAGCAATACTTTCCAACTCCAAGTCAACAAAGCGTTCTAGTTTCTTGAAGATCGCGTCCCATGTCAGAGCTTTCTTTCTCCTCGAGTCAGTGTTCTCATCAAGGGTGTTCAATACTTCAGGCGACCTCAGTTGTAAAAGGAAATTATTGGATGCTCTCTACATCAAAACCAAAAAGTATATGTTAAAATGAAGTCTCAACTCCAACGACGCTACATGAGATGTGAGTTCTCATGCATAAATGTACACTAATGCTTCTGGGCCAACTGAAGGAATGACCAAGAAAACACTTTGAACGGATGATGCCAGATATTTGAACAGGTGAAGAGAAGTATTAAACAGATGGCTATAAACAGCTCTGCTCAGCA